TAACTCTGATATGTTTATTGTTCAAAGGTGACAAGAGGGGGCGTGGCGCTACACACGTTGAGCCACGCCCCCTGGACCTGTGGTAGAGGGAGTTTATACATGACGCTCTGAGGCCCACACACCCTACCTGTCCCTGACCCTTGAACTTCCTACAACACTCACCACAATGATCACTGTCAGATCACGGCGGCGTAAGTAGTTTGAGTTTTGACAAGGCAACCTGAAAATTACTTATGAGTTGTTGTTTTTGTTTTCTTGAAGTTGTAGAGTAATAATCAACTGACTTTTCTTGAGGAGATTAAAGCTTAATATTTTGAGAGTTTTAGAGAAGCTCACGTCACAGGAACGATGGTGAAGGTGGCGGTGTAGGAGGAACATTGCATAGTCCGGAGAGAGACTAATGAGGGAGTCGGTGCTAGCAGAGGTCGCCTACGGCAGGGAAGGAGGGAGGGGGAACTGTCTGTCTCTGAGTCGGATTCTCCTCCTCCTCCTCCTCCTCTTTCTCTGCCTTCATCATCGTCATTCTCTCCTACTTTTCTTTCTTCTCCTCCTGTTATCTCTCTCCTACCACCACTCGGCTCCATAACGCAAAACATATTTACAAAAAAATAATACGAGGGAAGAAAGTATAATAAGCGTAAAAAGATAAACCATATGATCATATATCACAATATTATCGTAGAACACGCAGGTAGAGTTACGGTGGACCTGGGCAGTTACCGCCCCCAGGTACTGCCTCACCTGGCCACCCCACACCACCTGCTAGACCCCGGGGTACAGGTGAAAGGTGTTAAGTACTCCAGGCTTGTTTTTGTTTTCTTGCTAGAATTCCATGTCCCTCATTTTAAAGGTTCGCGGGGAGTCGAAGTTTTGGATTGGATTCTCTTATATTGTTTTGTGGTGAGGTCTGCAGTAAGGACATAAAGGCTCCAGAGATGGGACGTAATCCCTCCAAAGTTACATTTTAAGGGTGGGAAAACCGGTGATAATGAACACTGGTGCCCCTAAAATGTTCATGGCGGGCTGGCGTCTCTACAGGTGGCGTGGGTGACGGCAGGAGTTCTTGCTACAGGTATGGGGATGGCCTTAACAGGAACGACCTCAGAGTCAACATCAAGGAAAGATGGCTGCCACAGGTCGACCGTACTAACAAGTTTGACACATGACAAAGTTGGGCGTTCTGAAAGTCCATTCTGAATCAGACGCGGGTGACCCACTGTAACATGTGGTTCACCTCGGCCCATCAACACCAGAATAACGTCATCGAAAAAGCCCGTCTGATCAAGAAAGCTTTTTATTATTAAGACCCCCTCGAGACGTCGAGGACTAGTCGTTCTCGCTGTCCTCGTTATTAGACCCCACCAGTTCATCTGTAACGTTGATGTCCTCGTCAGAATAGTCACCATCAGCCTCTTGGTACGGGAAGGCGTACGGCCCCGTCGCCTTACCGTAGTTAGAGAGTGACGACAGGTCCTTGATCTGTATTTTAGCAGGGATGGATGACGCCAGCGAGGAGGAGAAGGCGTCAGCTCTGGCCTGTTGACCCACAAAACTATCGTCGTCGCCTCGCCCCTGGAACTCCTGATGATCTTTTGGGTACAGGTCGTCGTTGGGAGGGAGTCCTAAGTCATCCTTAGCGGAAGCGATACCAGCAGGGGTCCGGACTTCGTCGCCTACATCAGAGAGGTCCGGGTTGGGGTTGTTTTTGGTGGGGAGAGTCTGTTCTCGGGTCCCCCCAGAGGCTAGCAGCTCCCTCTCCTTAGAGTTCCTCCACTTCATCCGTCGATTCTGGAACCAAATCTTGACCTGCAACCAAATAGAGATGTTATGGGTCGGTGGCTAGTAATAGTGATCATTAGCTAGTAGTAATTAGTAGTTATTAGCACTTAAAATTAAATAGCTGCGGATAGTAACTCAATAGCAGCACCTAAGAGATAATTAGCAGTAATTAGTAGTCAATCAACCAGAGTACAGTCCTCACCTAATAAGCACCGTTCACTCTGTCTTAGCTTTAGGTGCTTCAACTACCAGGGTTATTAAGCACCGTTCACTAGGTCTTAGTTTTAGGTGCTTCAACTACCAGGGTTATTAAGCACCGTTCACTAGGTCTTAGTTTTAGGTGCTTCAACTACCAGGGTTATTAAGCACCATTCACTTAGGTCTTAGTTTTAGGTGCTTCAACTACCAGGGTTATTAAGCACCGTTCACTAGGTCTTAGTTTTAGGTGCTTCAACTACCAGGGTTATTAAGCACCGTTCATTAGGTCTTAGTTTTAGGTGCTTCAACTACCAGGGTTATTAAGCACCGTTCACTAGGTCTTAGTTTTAGGTGCTTCAACTACCAGGGTTATTAAGCACCGTTCACTAGGTCTTAGTTTTAGGTGCTTCAACTACCAGGGTTATTAAGCACCGTTCACTAGGTCTTAGTTTCAAACAACAAACATTTTGAATAATTCTAAAAAGTCTAAAATACATAACAGTATTTGTATTTTAAACATTACAACTTTTATTTCATCAATTTAGTTGTTGTTTTTTGCAATGTGAATGATGTTATTGTTGTTGTTATTGTATGTGTTTCTGTTGTTGATGATGATTATGATGTTGTCGTGTTAGTTATTGTGTTTGTTGTTACAGTTGTGTTTGTTTTTTATTATTGTTTTACTATTATTGTTGTTATTGTTGTTCTGTCCCAATGGCTCAGGTCTTGTTAGATAATTCCCAAGATTCAGTTTCTACTCCAGATACTAACATGTCAAGCCTCATCATCATCATCATCATCATCATCATCGTGCTATTATCGCTGACGTCATACACCTCACCTAGGTTAATGGTAGTTAGTGTCGGGAAGCATAACTCACCTGACCCCAGACTTATCAACCATAATAAACGACCTGAAATTAAACCAAGAAAACAAGGCGGCTGTGTTTTATGTTCCTGGGTTTAATAGTTACATTACGTCTCTTAGATTTAATTACAGTTATATAATATAATTACAAAATAAGGAGCATTACATCGCTTTCTCGCGTCGTCGTGTAAATCAAGAGCTAGACAACGAGACCACTGATTGGCCCAAGAAGCAAAGACGCGCTGTGATTTGTGAAAGGAGTTCTGTAACAAAGCCTCTGAGTGGTCGATGAAGTTGTAAGGCCAGTGGTGATTGGTGGCAGCTGTGTGCTGATGGAGTGGCGCGTTAACTCGACAAATGTGTTATTATGACCGGGGGAGATTTATAGCGGGCTGCTGGCTGGCTGGCTGGCGAGGCACTGGAGGGGTAAAAAGAACATTTACCGCCATTGTTTTTAGCTGTGTTTAATGGTTATTGCCAGTGTTTATATGTGTTCTTAGTGGTGGTACTTGGCAACTCCCTCATCTCACTCGTGGGCAAGGGTTTTACTCTCTGTTGGTAACGACGGTCATGATGTATACATGGTCTTTTACTTTGAGTTGGCAACGATGGTAATGATCTGTTTTAGGCATCTTACTCTGTGTTGGCAAATTTCTTCCTTACGTTAATAATAATAATAATACTAATAATAATAACAGTAATAAGAAATAAGAAAATAGTTACATCTACGCCCAACATGAGAGGTGCAGGTATAAGGTAATGTGGTAAGGCTATGAACAAAGATTATTTCGTGTTTCACTTCAACAAACTAAAATTTCGATATCATTTTAGCCCCACATAGGCCTATGAACAGATACCCAGATGCCTTCTCAAATCTCCCAATGGAAAAGAAAAATTGGATCAGGTGAAGATTAGGTATCCTCAGGTTATTTCACCTTAGGATTTACCACCCAAGCGTTACCTAACCTAACCTAGTCTTATATAACATAACCAAATGCTAACCTATCTTAACCTAATCTAACCTAAACTAGCATAATCTAACTTAACCTATCCTAACCTAACCTAACAACATAATCTAACATAACCTAACCTTTCCTGACCTGACCTAACATAACCTAACCTTTCCTGACCTGACCTAACTTAACCTAACGTAATCTAACCTAACAACCTAACACCCAACCTCTCCTGACCTAACCTAATCTACCTTAATCTAACCTAACAACATAATTTAACATAACAACCTAACCTAACTTAACATAATAATCTCACATAGCAACGTAACCTAATCTAACAAAACAACCTAACCTAACCCAACCTACCCTATCCTAACCCTCACCACGTATCAATAATATGTTTAATCACCAGGTAAAATAAGAGTCACTTAATCTTCACCTGATATTTTACGCCTCAGAATCCTACATACGCTCAACAAACCCAGACTAATTAACTCCTAAAGGGGCCAACGAGATAAGAAAGGAGCAATAGGGAAACAGTACAAACAAGGAATGGTATTAACGTACAGTCCCCTTCACTAGTGCGTTTACAGGGGCTCGTCGTATAAACATTCCACAAATCATTATATTGAGATATTTGTTTTAATATTAGTTTACTTTGATTCCATGGTATGTTTTCTATTGCGAGTTTCCTTCTGTCGAATGTAGACAAACACAGGGCTGCCACACTTCACAAGACCCGACGAGCCCATGTAAACGCACTAGTGAAGGGTACATCGCTCCATATATACTTCGCGCGGCATTTGGAGACGGGATAGAGAACGGGTAGTTTATAATAATTCGGAAAATATAAATAATTAAAAAGGGAAAAAAAAGTAAATGAAAAGAAGAAATACGAAAAGAGTAAATGAAAAGAAGGAAGAAGTAAAAGTAAGGAAGAAGAAAATGAAGGAAAAGGAAGTAAAAATGAAAAAAAAGAAGTAATGAAGCAGAAAACGTAAAGAAGAAGCAAAAGAAGAAAAACGAACGTAAGTTAAAGAAAATAAGAAATATTAGATTTGCCGAGGCAACTTAAATCACTATAGTGTATAAAATTCAGTTACCTAGTAAAAAAAATCATATTACCAAGACAAAAAAAAAGTAAACAAGAAACAAAAGAACAGCTGAATACACCTCTTTTTGGCGTTCGTATCTTTGTGTCACGCGCTTCATGTGGCACCTGAAGACGGGATAAAGGACTGGGTCAGTGTATACAATTAAAATGTTCTTAACCCGATCAGAACTTGAATTAAGAAAACGCAGCAAGAGGCATGAAAAAAAAACGCGGGAAGGAGTGATGAAATTAGCGCGGGAAGGTGGCCAAAAAACGTGGGAACTGAAGATGCAAAAAGAAAACCGCGGGAAGTAGTAATGAAAAAGATTTGAAATTAGACAAGATGGAACACACACACACACACACACACACACACACACACACACACACACACAGGCGTCGTGTCTCACCCTTGCGGCGCCACAAGAAACACATCAATTTAATCCCGGGAAAATCGGTATCCACGCGCGCTCCTCCCCCTCGACAAGGCCAGTAATAATATCGCCGTGATAAATAAAGGGAGAGGAAGCCGTCCATGCCAGCTGTCGCCAACATGAGCTTTGCTGCTAATGATGAGACCTGTGTGTGCATGTGTGTGCATGTGTGTGTGTGTGTGTGTGTGTGTGTGTGTGTCTGTGTCTGTGTATTATTTTCGCGCCACGTTCACCCACTCAAGACGTATCAAATGGGAAGAAAGAGCGGGAAGTGTGGTAAAAAGTGCGGGAAATGGGGTAAAAATCCATCCCAAAAGAGAAGAAACAGCAGAAAATGGAGAAAAGGTGTATTTAATGGAAAAAACCCTCGGGAAGTGGGGTAGAAAGTGCGGGAAGTGGGGTAGAAAGTGCAGGAAGTGGGGAAGAAAGTGTGGGAAGTGGGTAGAAAGTGCGGGAAATGGGGTAGGAAGTGCGGTAGAAAGCGCAGGAAGTGGGGTAGAAAGTGCGGTAGAAGGGGCGGGAAGTGGGGTAGAAAGTGAGGGAAGTGGGGTAAAGAACTCGAGACATATAGATATAAAACTGCGGGAAGCAGAGTGAAAATGAATGTACAGGAATTGGACCATCTAAAGCGCGAAGATGAGAAAACGCGCTGGAAGTGGACAATGTTGCTTCACTCTCTCTCTTTTACAGGTACTTTAACGGGCAATGTTCGATGGATTTGGCATCCTGTGTACCGCCGGCAAGGCCGTGGGCTCGTAACACTCGTCTTGCCCTCGGTGCCCACCGTTTCTCTGTGGATGTCGGTCACGCAAGAATAACCTGTTATAGTACATCCTTCGTTCCTCACTCAGCCAAACTTTGGAATGCTCTGCCTTCTTCTGTGTTTCCATACTCACACAATCTGTCTCACTTCATAAAGCTGGTTTTCCGGCATCTTCGTGGTGTTGATTAATATAATCTTTTTCTTTTCTATTTTTAATTTCTTTTTACTCTTTATTTTTTCGCCCCTTAGGCCCCGTTGTGGGTCGATGACCTGTGTCGGGGTGGGCTATTCCCTGTAAAAAAAAATACAAAGCGAAAGATGGTGGAAACAAACTGAAGAAAACACGCTAAAGTGGATAATAAACACGGGGAGTGGGGTGAAAAATGCAGGGAGTAGACATTAAACGAGGGGGTGTATAAAGAATACAAGAACTAAACAAACAAAACGGAAACAAAGAAAAACAATGAAAATTAAAAGAGGCAAAGACATATAAGACAATACCTAAGAAAGAGTAGAGAAAGTAATTAAAAAATGGTAGCGAATATAATCAATGATAAATAGAACCCAAACTCTCGGAGGAAGATAAAAATGGCGCTAAATGTAAATAAAACCGAAAAGACGGGAGAAAATATATGAGGGGGAGGCAGGAAAGACACGGGAAAAATAGTGAAGCCCCATAGAAAAAATAATAAAAAAATAAATGGTAAAAATTCATGAAAAAAAGAGAAAAAAGAGTCGAAAGTCATGAAAAAAATTAGAAAAATAGAAAAAATCGTATTGAAAAAATGCCAAGTCTTATGAAAATATAGAAAAAAATATGACATCCTATAGAAAAATATAGGAAACAATATGAAAAATTACCTAGGAAGGAAAAACAAGTGAGGGGACAGAGGCGGGAGGCGTAACAAGTATAGCAGAGAAGAAGAAAAACCTTCAGGAGTTTGTTAAGTTAGTAGACACAAAAAAACGTGAATGGACGGAAAGGAAGAGAGATTGTATAGGCGATTTGAACCTATTTACCCGCAATCAACACCACATCCTTTTATTATTGTCACCTGAGAGTCCTTGAGGCCGAGCTTCTCCGCCAGCTTCTTACGGTCAGGCTTACTGATGTACTTCTGCACCTGGAACCTGTCCTCCAGACCTTTACGCTGGAAGTCGCTGAACACCGCCCGCCTCAGCATCCCACGCCGGGGCTTTCCTCGCACTCCCACGCCCATCGCCGCCCACGGGAAGGTGCTAGGTAAGGGTACGCCGCCCATACCGCCCACAGTCCCATATACTACTGGTACGGTGGGCAAAGAAGACTTTTGTTAGAGCATTAATAAATAAAATTACTAAAATATAACAATTAAGACAGATTTACAGATCGTTTAAGAAATAAAATGACTGAAACAATATAAAATTTTCTGAATTTTATAGACGTTAAAAACTGAAATTATTCCTTACAGGTTAATATATTATTACATAAATTATTAGAGACATACAGCACGAGTGGGAAATATTAAAAGACAAAAACAAATGAAATTGGATAAAACTCTGAAAAATAACAAGAATTTATCACTAATATATTAACCCAATCTGTGAATAATTATCATCTTATTGTTAGTGAAGGGAAAGTGTGATGTTGACAGCCAAGATTCCTTTCATCATAAGCTCCTCCAGAACGATGAATTAACCCTTAACTACATTATCATCGTACTCAAGGGGTTAAGTCATCGCATTCAAGGGTCATAGTTATTGTACTCAAGGGTCAAAGTCATCCCTCCCTTACCCCCTCCCTCTCCCATACCCTCCCTCCCTCCCCCCTTACCCTCCCCCCTCCCCCCGACTCACCATTGAGATAGGGAGGTCGGCATGACAGGAGAGGCTGTAGAGGTGAGTGTATTATAGGTCGTGGTCTGGCCAACTGAGGCAGCCCATGACCACGGTCTGCTATACTGCCAATGGATTCTATATGACACAGGGAGAAAGTTTGGGTTAGTATGACACAACCCTACACAATTTATGACACACTGATCATTTTATGACGTTTGAATGATGTTAGTTTATGACACCGATTTGATTGATATTAATTCATGACACTCGTCGAACGAAATTTGTTTATGACACTGTTTATTTCATGACACATCACTTAGTATGTGACACACTGATAGATGAATATGCCCCTGAAAGACTTGCACCTGACACACTAGTTAGTACATGACACTCGAGGTGATATACAATTCGTTGGCAACAATATGACTCCCAAGTCACTCTGACACCTGTGGGTTATATCCGCACATGATAATATATGACACAGTAGTTAACATATGACACCGTTGATATATGACACGTAAGAGTGACAGAAATTACTGGCTAATATAACACTAATAACGGTAACACATGACACACTGGTTGTCATATGACACGTAGCAGTGACGTAAGACACACTGGCTAATATGACACTGACGTCGGCGACACATGACACTGGTTTTAGACACCTAGCAAGGGCATAACACGTGACAGTGACATAGAATACTGGTTAATACGACACATGACACCCTGATAAAAGTTAATAAAGATAAATGATAATAATAATAATAATAATAATAATAATAATAATAATAATAATAATACTCATGACTAACCTTAATGTAAAGTCTTAAGATAAAGGTGTCATAAGCGTGTCATGTCAAAAGAGTCGTATCAAAAGTGTCATGTCATAAGCGTCATGTCATCAAACTGTCATATTATAAAAGTGTCATGTCCTAAGAGTGTCATGTTATAAAAGTGTCGTGTCATAATTGTTATGTACATCAGTGTCAAGTCATAAAGAGAGTCATGTCATTAAAGTGTCATGTCATAAAATAATCCTGATTGGTCTTGATAACTTCACGGTCTGTTATCACGGCTTCAAAGGTAATTATTATAATGGGATTTTGTTCAGGTGATAATTTATGAGGAATTTTGTTTAATTTATTATTTTTAGGAATTTTATAAGGTTGAGCTTAGAGGGATTTTTTTGCTGTGGGATTTACCTGTATGACATAATGCTATAATCTAGATGGGATTTACTGGAGGGATTTTAGTTGAGTTGTGGTTATGATGGTGAAGAAAATTAAATCTTATTTGTTTATTTTTATTTGTTTGTTTGTTTGATTGATTTTCAGTATTTCAAGTTGATTTTAATCTATTCCGACAAACAATTAAATATATTAGAATAAATTACATGCGTTTCTTGTTTGCTGAATTTTGCTTTTGTTCTTGTTTTTGTTGTTATTGGTGCTGTAGCTGTTGTTGTTGTTGTTGTTTTACATTTGGTTCACTAGGTCTTAGTTTTAGATATTTCAACTGAGCTTCAACAACTAAGGTATTTTAATATATATTCTACAACATATTAGTACCTACACTAGCCATTTTCGACAATTAAAAGTATAGATATTGGAATACACATTTTTACCGGCACATATTATAGAAAACCGACACATTACAATTCTTTTATAAGCCATCAAGAAGGTGGCTTAAATCCTTGAAGATCAGTACAAGGTTTTTTTATTTCCTTACTAATAATAATATACATAAAAAATAAATTACCCATCACACAGCCGTCAGGTATATTGTTATAAACTTAACATATAACTTTAGCAATGCGAAAAGTTATCATTTTTCCTGTAGTCTCTAATTTTCTTTTTTTCCGCCATTTTTTGCATATAATTAACCATCAAAAACAAAGATATGATTAAATTTGAAGTTCATAAACACACTACCTCACTCCCCCGAGGCTGAGAGTGCCAGTTACTACCCCACAAAAATACCTCCTAATTACCATTATTATTGGCTCAAAATGATTATCCCAACATTTAAAACCACTATTTTTTCAACCTCAAATGTGTAATATTTCGTGAAAAAAGTGTTATGTGTTTACACGGTAATAACGCCGGGAATATGACTAACTGGCACCTAATGATGCTGACCAATCGCATCACACCAGGGAAAATGTCACTCTATTAGCGTAATTTTTATTGGCTATCCGACACGTCAATCTGTCTGTTTACATTATGTGGCGTTACTTTTATGGTTAGTCGCAGAATATTACATGTGTGTAAAAATAGAGCCAATATATACAGCCATTACCTGAAGATTAGACACCCCAGATAATTATCAACTCACGCTAACCTAATCTAACCCAACATACCATAACATAACAAAACCCAACTTAACCTAACCCAACATACCGTAACATAACCTAATCTAACCCAACATACCATAACATAACATGACCTAACCTAACCCAACATACCATATAACCTAACCTAACCACCCAGGTATATAGTGTTAGGGTGTTTAATCATCAGGTGAAATAGCTGGGGCGTTTAATCTTCAGATCATCCTCAACATGAATTAGAATCTCTCTCTCTCTCTCTCTCTCTCTCTCTCTCTCTCTCTCTCGATAGTTGACTCACAGCACACACACACACACACACACACACATGCGGTTCGTGTTACGTCATGTTTGTTCATCCACATGTGAGCGTACACACCTGACTCACTCAACCATGTGTGTCGTTTAAATAGTGTGTGTGTGTGTGTGTATGTGTGCGTGTGTGTGTACATGAGTATACGCTCATACACACACACTGCACAATATATACAATCAAAACATACTCATTCTTCTCCATACACACAATTAACGCGCATAACAACAACTATTATACTCTCACTCAGTCATACACCCTACACTCTGTATACACAAAACATATTCATTGTATTCCATATACTCTTCACGCGTACACAAACACGCATTATATATACACTCATCCATACACACACTGTTCACCATACACTTGAAAAATGTTTGTTTGTTTGTTTGTCATTTTTACTTCCGACATATATGATGAAAGAACCGTCATTATATATAAACCAATCTTATATATGACCCGGAAGTAAATATCAGGGAGTATTGTCCGCGACTGTATGTGGAATAATTTCGAGCACTATATTGGTATGACATATGAGGGATACATTATGTTTCCTTTTTATATGGAGAATAAATTATAGAAGCGAAATCTATAGTCACAACAAAGGCCTGCGTTTAATAGTAATAATAATAATAATAATAATAATAAAAATAATAAAAATAATGACAATACTAATAATTATTATAATAATAATAATAAAAATAACAACAATAATAATAATAATAATAATAATGATAACAATAATAATAATAATAATAATAATAATAATAATAATAATAATAATAATAATAATAATAATAATAAGTACAATAGACCAGTATTACCACAAGTCCCAGTCATCTTATATTACACACCACTTATACGTCAAAACGATATGCAAATTTAACGAATGATAATATTATGATAAAGGAGAATATTTTAGGCTCGTCGTCATCTACATTTAATAGGGTTTTTTGGCGGAGTGCGGTGGCTGAGTAGCTACAGCCTTCCCACTCAATCCTAAGAGACGATGGTTCACCCTTGGGGGCACTGTAGTACACCGTAAGATTATCGTAACTGAGAGTACGATATATTTACGATAACTGTTTATAATTAATGAACGTGGGTAGTGAGAGCTTTTTATGTATCGTATGTTTTAACTATCGTGTGTTTTATCGTAACTTAACCTAACCTAACTTAACCTAACGAATATTTAACCATTAGGTGTATCAAGCTTTGAGGGAGGTGGGGGAGGGGGGGGGCTAATATTCACTCACTCACTCACCCAGAAAAGTCCTGTCGCCTCTCCTCCTGAACCGCGAACCCCAAGATTCAGATTCGTGAATCCGAAGCATTTTTAGACACAATAATGCATCAGCGTCTACGGCTTCATGTTCACAAGTCTGAATCTCGGGGTTCACGGTTCAGTAGGAGAAGCGACATGACTTTTCTGGGTGAGTGTACGTAATAATTATAATACTCGCTGTACCAGTATGTGAGGCTTTGATAATTAATATAAGCCTTACGTATGATGTGATGCTGAATACTTCATTAACGGCTTTACCTGGCCTGGAGGTGAGCGCCCTGCATGAAAAGTGATGAAAGTACAGAAATTTATTGCATCATTGTGAGCAAGAATGATTGTCAGAGCTAATTACTAACCCTTAAAGCCATATTCGTTTAAGTAAAAAAAAAATAATAGTATGGATCATGTGAAGATTAGCCACCCCAGTTTATTTTACCTGATGATTAAACACCGTAATCCTACCTGGGGGGAGGATTAAGTTAGGTTTATTTAGATAATGTCAAGTTAGGTTGGGTTAGGTTGGGTTTGGTTAGGTTAGGTTATGTTAGGTTAGCATTAGATTAGGTTAGGTTAGCGTTACGGCGTTATATTATCGCCTGGAATAAACTGAGGTGCATAACCTTCATGTGGTCCTAAACCCTTATATAATATCCTTAAATATATAAACGTTATAAGACGCTTCGTTTTACTATAGCTGGCCTTTTCACTTTGTACACAGTCTATGACGTATCCGGCTCTATGGTAAAAATTGAGAGCCGGACCCGGATGTGAAAACAATTTTTTTTTATACTTACAAAATTATATTAACATCATCAGTGGATTGGATTAAGATTATTGTGTTGATTATATTAATGAACTGGATCATGGTGGAGGCGAGGGTGGAAGTGTAAGTTTATATGTGGACGATTATAGGAAAGCTTGTTATAACACAGTAATTATACAGTGAGAAAATGAGTCACAATGCTTACTTTACCCTTATGTGTGGAATAATCTTGACTATATAGAGATAAATGTAGTTAAGAACCTTCATTTTATTCCAATTATCATCGAATTTGATACCAATGAGAAATAGAATCACAATAATTACTTAAACCAATTGTATTCAATATTCTCGCCCTTAGATCGATACATGTACGTCAGATCAATAATACGTCAATAGCCTCGCCCTTAGATCGATACATGTACGTCAGATCAATAATACGTCAATA